CTTGGACTTTTTTTTGACATAAATTTTTCAAAAGGTCATGAGCTGCACTAATATTATTAGTAAATGTGTTATATTTTGTTATTTCATATTCTTCCAGAAATAAAAAAAAAACCTTTTTGGATTGTTTTTAATGATTATAGTAACATCATTCATTCTTTTTCCTTCGGCTTAGTCTCTTTATTTACGAGGGATCACCAACTTATCCAGCATATGTTTTACACAACGGATGCCCCTCCAGCTGCCAACCAGTATTGGGAAACACCCATACACACTCATTCACACACTACAGACAATTTCATTCATTCATTTCACTTTTCGGCTAAGTTCCTTTATTAATCAGTGGTCGCCACAGCGGAATGAACTGCTAACTTATCCAGCAAGTTTTACAGAGCGGATGCCTTTCCACCTGCAACCCATCACTGGAAAACATGCAGACTTCCCTATTAAACATATATTGTTCACCCTTATGTTGTTACAAAACTTTGCCAAAATATGTAGTCTGAAAGATTTCGGTTTCTGAAATTGTTTTTAAAAATCCTGCAAAGACAGAGTAGCTCCTACCCTTTTTAAAAAACAGCCAATAGCGTTTTCATTATTATCACAGCTCTGCCAGTGAGAGTGAAAAGCAAACAAGAAGCATTTTGAAGGGGCAGGGTACATCAGATAGTAGAGAGCATTTGATTGGTCAGAAGATGACCGATTGATAAGAAATGATGAATAAAAAACGGTTGATCTATTTAGGTGGAAGTGATAAACTGCAAGATTTTGATGTTTGTATTTTCTGAATTCAAAAGTTGTCCCTGTTTTGTTCCACACTGTCTTTTTAGATATGCTTAAGTCTAACTTATTGATACTAATATCTACAGTTTATTTTAATTTCATGAGTCTTTTAAGGATTTGGTTTAATACAAGTCTTAAGTAGAAACAACATTTCATTAATTAATTACTTAATTAATTAATTAATTTATTTATTCATTTTCCTTGTGCATAGTCCCTTATTTATCAGGGGTCACAACAGCAGTATGAACCGCCAACTGTTCCAACATATGTTTTACGCAGCAGATGCCCTTACAGCCACAATCCATTACTGGGTAAACATCACTTTATTAACATTTAAAATAAGATTCGCGAACAATGTGTGCAGCATTTAAATTTGCTCACAGAAGCTCAAGCATGCCGGATTGATAAGTGAGAACCAATGAGATTCCTTCTTATATGTCACATGGCATGTTTGAGCTTCTGCCAGAACCGATGAGATTCATTCTTGCAGATATCTATTAGATTTGATATAAATTTGATATAATTTTCATTTTTGGGTACCCTTGATCTATAGAATTTTTGGCGTGAAACATTTTGAACTGTTGAACAATTTAAATAAAAAATATTGTGGTAATGCATAACTTTAACAAGCTAACTTCAAAACCAATATATAGGAGTGTATATGGGAGTGACCGACACTGTAAACAACTTATTTAACTGTAATATGAGATGTTTTACTGTAGGACAGTTATGCAGTTTGTTACTGTATTCTAAAGTTGCATTGTTAAAAAGGCTGTATATTGATCAGTAAATATATAAAATAAAAACATGTATAGCAAGATAAATGTAGCTGTAAATATGGTATTTTGCTGTAATTAATTTACATTAAGTTACTGGTGAACTAAAATGTAATATGAATTTAATTTTACCGTAGGACAGTTATGCAGTCTGCTACTGTATTTTAATATTGCATTTTGAAAATTACTGTATATTTCACGGTAAAGATATACAATACTTTAAATGCATACACAGAAAGATAAATGGTGTTGCAAATGCACAGTATTTTAATAAGTTACTGGCAAACTGCTATCAGCAAGTTACTGTAGATTCTACAGGAAAATGTTAAGAGTGTATTTCAATCGAATTTACTTAAAAATAACAAAAATTAACTATTACCTAGAAAAAGAGTACATCTTTTGTAATATAAAGCAGGGTAATTATTTATTAACAAACCGACACTTTATTTTAAACCTCTTACAATATTAAATCAGCACATGCTGAGTTCAACAATACTTCCTTTCTTATGTTCTTGTTAAAGGCAAACAGTAGTGTTTATTTAAGTTCCTAAAACTGAAAAATTCTTAACCCTCACATATTTTAAATGAAATATAGCAAAAACCATAAAGTGATGTATATCTTAAAAATATTATTCTTAGTCAGATTTTTTTTTTTTTACTCCACCAAGTACTGAAATGACATTTGAAGAGTTCAGATGCAAAAACCTCATCAAATTTCTTTTAAAACTAGTGTTTTTCTCAGGCACCTATCCCTTGATTCAGTAATTTCACTTTTATGGCAAAGAATAGGTAATTTTCAACGATTTTACCATGATATAACTGAACATAAACATAAGAGGCAGAGAAAAATGCTCATTGTAGAAGACAATTCCAGATGGCACTTAGAGGTTTTTGCATCTGAACTCTTCATTTACAGATTTTATTAAAATAATAGTTATTTATAACAATGATCTTAACAAATCCACAAATTTTTTATTTTCAGATTTCATATATGACTGAATCCTAAAACAGAAATATAAAGTTTTGAATGAATGAACGAAATACATTTCTAAAAAAAAAAAGAAATTAAAAAAGGGAAATGCAAAACATCCCCAAACTATGTTTAATACAACAGTCTCTGCTCTCATAAGCTCAACAGAGATATAGCTTTGATGTATTATTTGAATCTGACGGCTTTAAAATTTTCAGCAACGCAGCAACTGGAGCATGTTGTGATGGACATCTCTCTGATAGCAAACGCGACTTTTATTTTAGCAAGCATCAAAGTTAAGGAGGCTTATATCCAGCTATCAGCGGCTACAGTATATCACCAGCTGTTAGCTTTATGATTCGAGCACATCTCCAGAGGGAGTTGTGTTACTCCTCCATGTCTGAACGAAGGATCCCGACTTTTCCTGTGTGAGATTAATGAAGAGTTTCCTTTGCGCCTGTAAAAAGCCTTGGTGTTTTTCTGCCTTGTCTTGTAGTCTGACGCCCACAAACACTGTGATTTATCAGGCGTGAAGCGGGTGAAACTCACTGTCTGATGATGTAGGTGGTGAGCGTTACATTTTTGACTGATAAAAGAATGATGTATAAATGTGTTATTTGTGGAACTCGTTGAAACGTAAATTGGGATTATGATTATGTGACAAACGGTGTGTGAGGAAGTCAGAAATGCTAATTGTGTTGTTATTAATTTTTATATACGTACAACTGGATATGAGGGTGGCACGGTGGCTCAGTGATTAGCACTGTCACACAGCAAGAAGGTCACTGATTTGAGCTGGACCAGTTGGAATTCTGTGTGTTTGCATGTTCTTCTCATGTTCGCATGGGTTTCCTTCAGGGGCTACGCTTTCCCCCACAGTCCATGTGGTATAGGTAAATTAATTAAACTAAATTGTCTGTAGTTTATGTGTGTGGTGTTTGTGTGTGTGTGAGTGTTTCCCATTACTGGGTTTTGGCTGTGAAGACATTCTCTGCGTAAAACATATGCTAGAGTAGTTGGAGGTTCATTCCGCTGTGACAACCTCAAAAATAGAAACTAAACAAATTTATTCTGAACTGTGTTTTTGTCATTTTAAAGCAATTTATTGTGAAATAAGCCGTCAAATATCTGTAGTAAATGCAAAATTATAATTTACTTAAAAATTGGAAATATTACTTCCATATTTTACTTCAATAATGTGATGTAATTGAATATAAGGGTAGAGGTACTGGGCAGACAACTGAGAAAAAAAAATATGAATTAAGAATTATATATATATATATATATATATATATATATATATATATATATATATATATATATATATATATATATATATATATATATATATATAATTATTTTTTTTTGGTTTTATCAGTTTAAATGTTTACCAAGTTAATAGTAACCCAAGTAATATTTTTTAGGTTTATACTTTGTTCAAAAAAGGTAATGATTTGCACTCAATTGCTTCGTACTGTTTTCATTTTGGGCGAGGCAGTGGCGCAGTGGGTAGCACGTTCGCCTCACAGCAAGAAGGTTGCTGGGTCGCTGGTTCGAACCTCAGCTCAGTTGGCGTTTCTGTTTCTGGAGTTTGCATGTTCTCCCTGCCTTCGCGTGGGTTTCCTCCGGGTGCTCCGGTTTCCCCCACAGTCCAAAGACGTGGTACAGGTGAATTGGGTAGGCTGAATTGTCTGTAGTGTATGAATGTGTGTGTGGAAGTTTCCCAGAGATGGGGCATCCGCTGTGTAAAAATTTGCTGGATAAGTTGGTGGTTCATTCCGCTGTGGAGATCCCGGATTAATAAAGGGACTAAGTCGACAAGAAAATAAATGAATGTTTTCATTTTTTCTTTTTCTTACATTTTACGGGTGATTAAAAGACAGACGTTTCGGCACAAAGCCTCAGAGGCAATATAATAAAAAATAAAAACAGTACGAAGCAATTGAGTGCGAATCATTAACTTTTTTGAACAATAGCATCGATAAGATTGGCGCACCAAACCATAGAAGTAACAAAAAAAAACGCAAGTGCGCAGGGAAAACTTCTTTAACTCTCGATAGGTTTATACTTTGTACCTTAATGTCAGGACAGATCCATATTCCACTACTAAATAGTGCCATCTAAACTTGCGACACTTTCAGGTATTAAATTTGATAATTAATAATTAATTGAATTAAAAAAAAGTATTTATAACAAATATAAAAATTATATATTTAAAATGTATATACTTAAAACACGTTTAAATATTTTAAATATATATGAGGTCAACCACATAGTGTTTTCTTTTTTTCTCAGGGGATAAGGGGAGGTGGTGTATTTGGGGTGGTTCATCCAGAGTGCCATTTAAACTAGAACTGCCACTGGTTTGAATTATAATACCCAATTAATGTACTGTAGATTAGACTAGTAGACTCATTGCCAGCAGGTGAGGGTCACCTCACTGCCTGTAAACTGAGCTCTGGTCTTCAGCCCACCTGGTCCTGGGACTTCTTCTTCTTCTTCTTCTTCCCCCAGCAGCCTGAGGTCTCTCCGTCCTTTCCGCTGGCGTCGCTACACAGAAGGCCGTCCAGCTCGTCCGTCCCCATCTGCTGTCCCTGAGACGTTTCCGCTGCGAGCCGATATGAGAGGTTCCTCAGAATACAAACACAGTTTTCAATGGTCTGCCAGAGAGAGAGAGAGAGAGAGAGAAAAAGAGAAAGAGAGAAAGAGGTATTAGGTATTGGGCAGGTATTAGTTGAGCACCACTGAGCTCCTGACAGAGGGGCTAAACTTCATATATTCAAGTCATGCTGACTCTGAATCAGCAAGACACACAGGTTTGGTCTCTAACAAACATAAACAGACTGAACCCTTCCTCATGCTGACATCCAGCTGAGTAACAATTAACAAGAGGTCAGGAACAGCCATTGGAAGGGAGTGTGATAGTTTATTCTTTTTTTCCCCTTACTTTCCTAAAATTGGTACAAAACTTGCTGTGATTTGATATGGCATTATGTTGGTTTAACAATGTTAGTCCGTTTTCCTGAGGACAATTATACAGAAAAACTAAACTAAACTAAACTAAACTAAACTAAACTAAACTAAAATTCTTGCTGTCGCCTCATAGCAAGAAGGTCGCTGGTTCAAGTCTCAGCTGCGACAGTTGGCATTTCTGTGTGGAGTTTGCATGTTCTTCCCGCGTTCGCGTGGGTTTTCTCCGGGTGCTCCGGTTTCCCCCACAAGTCCAAAGACATGCGGTACAGGTAAATTGGATAAGCTAAATTGTCTGTAGTGTATGTGTGTGAATGAGTGTGTATTGTTGTTTCCCAGAGATGGGTTGCAGCTGGAAGGGCATTCGCTGCTTAAAAAAAACATATACTGGATAAGTTTGCTGTTCATTCCAATGTGGCGACCCCAGATTAATAAAGGGACTACGCCGAAAAGAAAATTAATAAGTGAATGAATGAATGAAAATAAAAAATAAAATATAAAATGATGAATGGCCAAAAAAGTGCTTATTTAAAAAAACATTTAAAATAAATATAAATACATTTAATACGTTCATGCACTTGTATTTGTTTTAAAATGAAAAAAGTTTCTTTAAATGAACGAATAACAAAACAATAAATAAATAAACACTTGGCATTGTTCTAATGAAGAAGCCTAAACAACAATAAAAATAATTATATTATGTATATTATAATGACAAACAAAGAAACAAAAAAGAAAGAAAGAAAGAAAGAAAGAAACAAACAAACAAACAAACAAACAAACAAACAAACAAACAAACAAACAAACAAACACTACCTAAACACTTAATACTGGTTTTAATGAAAAATCTTAAGCAACAATAAAAAAATAATTGTATTATGTTCATAATAAATAAATAAATAAATAAATAAATAAAAACAAGCAAACAATCAGTTGGTTAAAAAAAAACTAAACCAACAATAAAAATAATTATATTATGTATATTATAATGACAAACAAAGAAACAAAAAAGAAAGAAAGAAAGAAAGAAAGAAAGAAAGAAAGTAAGAAACAAACAAACAAACAAACAAATTTAGGGTTTGACATATTTAGGGTCTGCTCATGACAAGTTTAGGGCCTGTTTACATGTGTTTTCCTTCCATTTTGCCCTTGTTCTTTCTTCTATCTAAGACTAGTCTCCTTTGACTGCATCCTACTATCTTATTTCCTTCGTCTCTCTCTTTCTCTGACTGTTGGCTGGGAGTGTAGGCTGCACTGGCACTAAGTATATGAAAGTACTTAATTATATGTCTGACACGGTCTCCCATTTAAATGTGATTAAAGGATATACTCGCAGATGGGGAAAAATGACCAGCCAAATCCATCGGCTCACACTCCATTTAACAGGGTATTACAAGGAGACACAGCAGAGCAGGCACAATGCTTGACAGCACAAAATAGAAAATAAACGCTCGCAAAATGATGATGAAAAACGAGCATTCTTCTCAATCTCCATGTTTTGCTTTTTCCCCCCCATTATGAATCGAGGAGGACTGTGGCCTGCACAAACAAAAATAATGACTGTAATCAGAGAAACACTCAGAGAATTATGCACTGGTGTTTCAGTCATACAGAAACATATTGGTTTTCTTTGTGCCAGACACGACTGACCTTGCTTTCTCAATGGAAAATGAAGTTCTGCTGAAACTTGCCTGCACCTGGCGACATTCGGGGCGACAGCATTTCTCTTACTCGCAGCAATTTAGAAGGTCCGCTTTGAAATTGTGCAAGTCAACAGGAGAAAGCTTGACCAACCACAGGTTAACTGCACATTAAGACCATGGGCGGCATGCTTTCTCCAATTATAGCTCTGCTGGGCCAACACCTGGCCAAAACAGCTCTGGGCAAATCACAGCACATAAAGAAATGGCAGTGATTAGGCTGATTGCCCTTTTTCAAAGCCAATGTGCTGGGCAAAATGGCCACTGTTGCTTTTTTGAGCGTTTGTAATGTGTTAAAGCACACTGATGGATGAAAATGAGCTCTTTGTGCTCTAAAATGAGCTAAATGACATGTACAGGGAAGAAGAAAAGGCATGGAGTGCTGGTGCATTTACACAAAGTGGTTAGCATTTTAACATTTAAAGGGGTGTGAATTCAAATTTTGAATGCCTTTTGACATTGTTGAAGGTGCAATTATTAGCCCTCATGTGAAATGTTAAGTCAAGTTGAACAGAGCAAAAAAACTTTTTTGCAATAATAGTTTTTGCAATAATAGATTTCTCCTGGATTAAGAAGAAAGGTCTTGTTTGTTTTGGTTTGGTTGAAAAAAAAAGAAAAAAAAAGGTCAATTTTATTAGCCCCCTTAAAGTTTATTAGACACACCCCATGCAGACAAATGTCTGTAGATGGTAAGTGAACAATCTATACTTACGAGTTTAAAGTTAGCCTATGCTTAATAAAGATTTTGTTGTTTTAATAAAAGCAGCTATGGTACACACATTGAATAAGAGAATATTTTTATTTTATTTATGGCTCGTTTCCACTGAGCGGTTCGTTATGGTATGGGTTGGTATGCTTTTATGGCCGATTCCATTGTCAAAAGGCAAACCATACTGTGCCAGTTTTTGGGAACCATTTCCAAAAAAGTACCTAGCATGACAAAAGGGTACCAAAGGGCAGAGCTAGATGCGCAGCTGAACATTGTTGGTGTACAGAGAAGTGTCACTAGCGCGTACACAAGCCAGGAGAATGAAAACAAAGGAAGCGCCATTTTTAGATAAACAGCCGAGACATTACACGTAATACTATATACATAATAACAAGCCATGGTCGACCTGAGCTCAAACAAACCTTGTCGACATCTTGATGAACCGCCTCAAAAAGTCAGTCTAAAAGCACGAGTGGTTTAACTTTTTCCAGAGAGCTTTTGTTCACTCACAGCGAGTCTACATTTGAAATAACAAACTTCTTAAGCTGATGATAAAAACGTGTGCGTGATTATTGAAGTACTTCTGTAACGATGACTCAGAGGGATGTGGATCCATTTGCGAGCTTTATTGTAAACACAGTATGGCAACACAGAGAGCAAAATAACCAAGGACAAGCAGCAATCACTCAGAAACAGTAGTACAGGCTTTGGTCAGGGCAGGCAGCTTACGGTTAGATACGATGAGACAGGCTTTGGTCAGGGCAGGAAGCTTAAGGTCAGGAATGATAATACAGGCGTTGGTCAGGGCAGGCAGCAAACAATCAGAAAACGGGCAGGCAGGCAATCGGCAACAGAAAGGCAGTCAGAAGTAGTAAGAACCGTTCAGAAATGTTTGGTAGCAAAACAAGACTTCGCACTGAGTACTTGAACTGAGCTGGTATTTAAGCACCCTGCTAATAGACATCAGGTGCAGCGTAATCAGAGTCAGACATGTGGCTAATATTCAGGAGATGAGGGCCTCTGCTGGTTGGTGAGTGGATATGCTGGGACCAAACGGGTGACAACTTCTGACAGAGTCTCCTTTCAGAGACAGACAAATGCAAGAGTAAATCGCGAAAAAACTAAGAAGAAGCCAGAAAAAACAAAGAAGCAAATGATTCTTTCAGCAACCTAAAACTTAAATTGCCACATTTAATTGTTTTCATCCCCTCATTGTACTATTATGAACTCATGTATTATTGGCACCCATTTGGCAGTGGAAGCACAAGCCTGATAAAGGTGACCCATACCGTACCATACCGTACCACTCAGTGGAAACTTATGCATATTCACAAATAGACTAGCTTAACATAAGTGACAACAAGATAACAACAAAAAACTTTTTCATGCAAAGGTGAAAGAACTGGACTGCACCCACTGCACATTTTTACTGACAGTAAGCCATTACTGACTATATTTATGTGAGATATTCCACAGGATGTACATTTAAAAAAATTTTTTTTTGACAATATAGATGCAAAACGAACAGATCGTACACTGTCTGAGTAATATTGTGCTGGTATTAAGTGACTTCCCCTAGTTGTTTGTCAAGTCAACTTTTAATTCCCGATGCCAATTAAAAATGAAATATTTGTTAAATAATATGTTCGGACAATGTGTTCTCCTGGCATTCCAAATAAATACACATGGAAAACAATCTTGTACTTTACACCCTACTCTATACGGTGCCTCCTGTTTAGTAAACACAGCCACTGTTGATTTAACTAGTTGCTGAGACTTTTATATGAGTATGTTGTTGTATTTCTAACTGAAACTGGCTGAAGATATCAAACTGACATTAACAGAAAAGGACCACCACTCTAAATGCAGAAGCAAATGGACAGATTTTGATTAAAGATTACAATAAAAACAAACACTTTTTTTCAGTGGATTAGCATGGATTAATATTTCACCTAAAGAAAAACATTGTGCACTAGCAAAACAAACAGCAAATTATATTTTTACATGCTGGATGATAAATCTGGCCCTAATTAGTTTTTGTTTAAAATGCCTCTTTACCCCTTTGACCAAGCTCCAAATGATTGACATGAAGCCTGTAAAATCTAAAAAGATATTTCTGTACACAATTTATTTGTAAGTTTGGAAGCTTTGCGGTGGTAGAGAATGAGCCACATGGGGATTCAAACAGAGGGATTTAAGGCGAAATCTGAAATGCTCACAAATCTGAAAATGACCAGAGGGAAGGAACTGTACCGTGCTTTGCCATCCACACGCTCTGCTCTTCAATTCCCATTAGGACGGATGCAACCCCTCCGCTCAGCTATTAGCACACTGGGCATGACGAAGGGATGCCAGTTAAATCATGATTAAAGAACGCCATTAAGAAGAGCGAATCTCCGCAACCTTCAGTGAGCAGCCAACCACAAAGCTGTTTATTTGTTTCCTGAGCAATCCGTGCACCCACACACACATTAAAAACTTTAACAACAGGTTGCCTTTATAGCTCTGGCAAAGATGGACAGATCCCGAGAGGAACGCATACCTTGCTATCAATCTCACTGCTTCCGAGGGAAGTCTGAATGACGAAAAGCAGCGTGTCAGTCAGACCCTCACATTCTCTCATCCGCCGCCGAGCCTCTTCTCCTGCTGAACTCACATTCCTGGGAGAGGGAGAGAGAGAAAGAGAGAGAGGTCAGTGATGAGTGCATTAAATCAGGGAGATTCAATCACACGGGTGCACATTCCCTCCGACGATACAACCCGCTTGTGACAAACAAAATGCAAATGTCTTACATTTCACGAGTCGTTCAAACAAATTGCTCCAAACCTCCCACCTCTGACACGTATAAATATATGAATCTATTAGTCTTCAGGGGGAGAAACACTGACACTGCTAGATATTCAACTGTTTATGCCAGACAAGGGGAGAGAAAGAAATGGATATTGGCATCATTTCAATTGGATAATCCAATAAAGGTTCTGATTATTTTGTTTATTGAAGAAATCAATCAGGTGTGCAATGCTGAAAACAGACGAGAAGAGAATGTAATGGGTTTATTGTACATAAAAGCTGCAAAAATCTCCAGCTATTTTTCTGCCCACTGTGAAAACGTAAAAATGCATGCGATTGACAAACCTCATCATAGCACAAGTTCATGTTTAAATGTGCAATATGTAAGAATTTTGGAGGTACAGTATTAAAGGGCATCTACTGTATAATGGAAAATCAACTTTTGTAAGCTGTTTAAACAGAACTGTATGTAGGTATAGTGTGTACACAGTCATATTGGCTATAGTCATTCGTTCATTCATTTTCTTGTCAGCTTAGTCCCTTTAATAATCCGGGGTCGCCACAGCGGAATGAATACCAACTTATCTAGCACGTTTCTACGCAGCGGATGCCCTTCCAGCCGCAACCCATCCCTGGGAAACATCCACTCACACACACATACACACACACACACCCGACGGACAATTTAGCCTGCCTAATTCACATGTACCGCATGTCTTTGAACTGTGGGGGAAACCGGAGCACCCGGAGGAAACCCACATGAACGCAGGGAGAACATGCAAACTCCAAACAGAAACGCTAGCTGAGCCAAGGTTTGAACCAGCGACCTTCTTGCTTTGAGGCAACATCACTACCTACTACGCCACTGCGTCGCCGTATATAGTCATTTATAAGTCTTTTTTTAATTTAACAGCTAAGCTAACAGCTCAAAACTTCCATATTCAGAAAGATATAATAAATAATCTGATGGGTATTTTACCTGGAGACACAAAAGACTTATCTTAAATCTTGAAAAAAGGGGAAAAATAGGTTTATTTTTAGCAATGCTTTTTTTGTTGTTGTTGCCATTGTGTAAACAGCTAATAAAACATATAAAACTGTAAAATTTTAAAGTTAATCAGTCAAATTAGCTCTTTATTGGTGGAATTCATGCAAAAACTACATAACCGATGATGCTGTACAAAATTTTTACCAATCAGAGAGTTGTGTTGAAGAGGTTTGCCTCAGGGCCTGGCAAGATTTCTTTCTGCGCTGAAATAAATTTCAGAATAAAACACATTAGCGGTCGGTAACTCTGGTTTAATTTGAAATGGAGTGGGCAGTCTAACAATTTAGTATTCCCGAGTCTCGACTTTGAAACAGCATACAGTATCTGTCATTTCCTCATTCTTATTGAGGACCGGTACAGCCAGTGCTCACGACTGTTACACATGCTGAACGCGTGATCAGTGCTTTCTGCATGTGCTTTTTTTGCATTTTGTGCACATCACGGTTGCATAACGGTCCTCAGAGCGGGCTTTACTAACATGGGAGAGCAAAGCGAAGATGTTTTTTTCAGCACTGTCCTTCAGCTTGCTTTAGAAAATGGAATGGTCAATTTACTTGTAGGAAAGCCACATCAGGCATGTCTGGAATATAGGACTATTTTTCATGCGTCATAGACGTAAATGGAAAAAAATACCCTTTGTGCGAAGTGATAATACCTCAAAGTTTAACCATGTTTAAGGCAAACAAAATTAAGGGGCAAACAAAATTAACATTTAGCCTACAATCCTTGCACAACCTACAGTTTTGTCTGTTATCTCTCTCTCTTTTGGTAGTACTCAATTTAAACGTGAGATTTTGGAAATCAGATCTAAATTTAGTGGGAATGGTCGGAATATACAGCAGGAGTTTTCGGGTGTGGGATAAAACTTTGCAAGAGCAAGACTAAAAACATCAGTCCCGCACAGACCTTTATAGTGTTGAACAAAGAGCGCCAAAAGATAGCTTTAGCTACACCCACTCCCTATTTTATTTGATGGTCTTGCCAAACAAATAAAATTTTTTTCTAAAGTTACAACTATCTACTTTTGTTGTGTTTAATTCAGTTGTGTCATTTAGAAAGTCTGCACCTTTGTGTTTTTGTCTATTTTTCAAATAATTGATTTCAAATTAAGTTTGTAATGTTGTGATTTTCCTTACAGTTTGTTGGTTTGATTTATGGCCCATAATTCTTAAGCAAAGATTTAGTTAAAAATTTCTATCAAAAAATACACTGAAAAAATATATATCTGTAAAATAAGCTGCTAAAAATGTGCAAGGCCTAATTCACTCTACTATAGTAGCCATGAAAAATATTCAGCTACATTACATTTTTGAATGTTTGTTTGGGATTTGGTAACTATTTTGCCATTTATTGACCAAAAGTATTTTATATAAATTATATAATTAATATTTTTTAAATAAATGAATATGTTCATTCTCATTGCAATTCGTACATTTTTGATTAAGCAAATTTGTGTGAATTCATCTAATATCATTTGTTTAATTTAGTATGGTTTGCTTACCCCCCAATGACGGTTGGGTTTAGGGACGGGTTGGGTCTGAACTTGACTGAACTTGTAGGAATTTGTATGAATTAGCCACTAAACTGACAAAACGTAAAATAGTTACATTTCACCATGAGATCAGACTGGTTCATTCAGTAAAATTGCATTAAATTAATCAAATGTTACACGAATATATTATTATCATGCCTAATGTTTATGGTTAAGACATGGTGTAATGCATTCAGCATCTCTGTGCAAACTAAACAATAGCAGACATTAAACTCCACATCAATACACAACACGCATTAACAGCAAATCATAGCTCTATTAAAGGCTCTGCATCATATCAATGTGTTGAAAATGGTTTGATCTTAGCTAAAAACTCCCTTGTGTGCCGGACCGACAGAATATGACACACGTGTGACTCTACGCCACATGCTGCCTTTGGGAAAACGGCCCACTCGTAAAAAGAAAAACTCACTCACCTCAACTATAATGGAAAACTGGATACATTACGCCGCAAAGGATTTACATTTCTATATTCACCAGAACTGAGTCAATTGCTATGTATCATTTATAAGAATTGCCTGGACTCCTACTCCATAATAAATGAATATACCTGGGAAAAAAGCCATTGGAAATACATAATTTAACCTGCATATGGAGTGTTTGAATTACAAACTTATCTATTTAGTTCCTTTATGGCCCTGCTTTATTATGTCATTAAATTTTCAACAGGCCTGACAGCGACCGCTTTTGAATTTAAGACCTGTAAGTGTCACGTCCAATTTGTCGAGTAAGTTTTCATCAAAAAGTCATGCGAGGAGGCACTGCTTACACTCATGTCACAACAGACATGTTTCATTTGAATGAAGAAATGACTATTTCATTACAACAGACACCCTGAGGATGGAGTCACGTGATAAATCACTGAATGTTTATGAGTTCAGTCATCGGAAACCTGAATATGGTAGTACATCAGGACATTTTTCATATGAATTATTGGATTGGTAGACAAAACCAATCTCTCTTTGAATGGGTTTATTGATATGCTTTTTTGCTTGTGTATTGCATTCTGGGCAATTAATGACAGTTATTAATGTGGTTGTTGTATTTTGGTACAACACAAATAAGAGATGGAGGGAAAAGCATATTGTAACTGGTGTGGATTAAATTAACTAGTGATATGAGGATGTGATAAGTACGACTGAAGAAACACATGATTTAAAGCACAAGCAAAACATATTACATGAAAAATAGATGCTGGGGTCTGTGCTGAACATATGCTAAATGTGTCTGAATTTTGAATAATCACAGTAGGAAGCAACATTAGGATTTTAGATTTTCATACAGGCTGCCAGTAAAAAAGAAAAACAATACTGTTGAATACATTTAGTTTGGTTGGATAATGATACACGTTCTATCATCTTCTGCAATAATTTCCAAAATTATTTGTTGAAAACAGATATAGAACATATATAGGATAGAACGTGTATAGGAGAAACGGATATAGGAGAAACATAATTTTGCTGAATATACACATCTATTAAAATATACAGTATATATAGTATATACAGTGTATACAGCAATGTTTTATTTCAGCTAGAATAAAAGAAATAAGATTTTATCAAAAAGAAAAAAATATTATTGGAAGCAAATTGCATTGCTCTGTTAAACAAAACTTTTTTTTTTTTGAAAATGAATTCAAATATTAATTTTGAATTAAATTATTAATTTAAATTTTTTTTATTATTTTAATTATTAATTTTATTAATTTTTAAAAATATTAATTAACTTTCAACCGTTGATGTATGATGCATGATACTTTATGTGGCTTAATAATAAACTATCAAAATGGCTGTAAGTAAGCAAATGAGAGGTAAAACACTTTACACATGGACATTCAGCTCAGTTTTTGGCATGAATCTGTGCTGTTCGCACTTAATGGAAGGTTCATTGCAGCCCTTTGTGTGGGAAATTAAACATCCAAGCAGCACAAGGGCCATATGGGAAAACAGTTAATCAAAGGTTATGCTAATGCACATCAGGCTGAGAAGAGCTCTGTGCTCCCAGCGCCTGCCTCCTCTTTATGAAATAAAACAGTTATGCGGGAGACAGAAATGATGAGACATTACAACTCGCAACCAAGAGACTAAGACTACCCCAAACCAGATGTCAGAGAACACAGCTGCTGTGCTTTTGCTCAGATTTTTCCAATTTATTTCCAGCTAATTCAACGGGACATATTATGCCCCTTTTTCATTAGATGTATAATAAATGTCTGGTGCCCTAGAATCTGTGTGTGTGTGTGTGTGTGTAAAGTTTCAGCTCAAAATAC